CCACCCTAGAGGAAGGGGATTTGATTGACAGTCCCCAGGACTCCCTGGAATGGGGGTACTGTCTTCTGAAGGCACAGGGGGGCACCTGTACTCACAAGCAGAGGGCAGCTGGGGAGGCACCATGGCCCTTTCCTGGGTATCACACCTGCAGGAGGGGCCCCACCTATCCTTGCTTTTGTTTTGTAAGAGCCTTGCTGTTTGAGCAAATGAAACAGCAGCAACAAAAAGATATTTTGGAGACAATGAGATAGATTTGACTTAGAACTGAGGATCACATGATAACAGAGAGTTACGACTTTCTTTAGGGGTCTAGTGGCATTGTGGCCAGGTAGGAAAAAAAGCATCTTATTTTAGAGGCATACCAAATCCCAAGAGGATAACAGGCCATTATGTCTGAGATTTGCCTGGTGATAGTCCCTCTGAAAAAGCAAGCAAGGAAAATCAAAAGTAGAGGAAGCAAAGAAAGTCAAATCTAATTATTTTGCTTTAAATAAAAGTGTTGATTTTTATCTTTGGAAATCTTCAGTAGAACCCCCCTGTAGGGGCTGCCCGTGAGCTGGCTAACAGGATGCGTGGGCGGGGGCATCTGGTTTGGGGCCACTGGGCAGCGCTGGCTCCTGGAGCTCCCTCTCCACACACATGTTGACACATACTCGCTGCTGCTGGCATTGGTTGGCCCTTGGCAAAGTCAGCCATTTTACCTTGGTGTGGAATTAAATGTGCAAGCGCTGGAGCTGCCTCCTGAGACGTCTGTCACCAGGCATGTGCTCTGGGCTACACATCTGGGCAACAGTAGGGAGGCCATTTTGGGGAGGTTGACCAGATTTAGAATTCAAACTCACTCCTGGTCTACGCAATTGAATTTATTTCCTCTGCAAGAGGCTTGCATCTCAGAGCAAAATACCTCTGGCTGGGCTTGGGCGTGCGGGCAGTGATCCTGATGGAGGATTCTGGGCTATTTCCATATCCGCATGCACGTTGCGGTGTCCTCGGCACCCGGCATTATTGAGAGTGTGTCCTCACAATACAGTGCGGAAGCAAAGGCAATTTGAATGTCCTTGGGCCCAAAATTAATATGCGCTTTGTATAGTCTTGTAATTTGGGAGGCAATTTTCCATAACGCAATGAGAGATGTTCCTTTATACATTTGAGGTAATTTACCTCAATGTTCATTTGAAAAAAATTAGTGTTAATAGCAGCTCTTCAGCTGGAACAACACACCCCACTGGGAGAACATGGAAGCCTCTGAAAGCGATTCTTGTGTTGGTCTGTCTGAGAGCATCTGAACAAAGGCTGGAGCAGCTTCCCCCAGACCAACAGCTGCCTGAGCTGGTAGGGCAGGATCCAAAATATTGTATGAGCTCATGAGTTCTAGCTTATTGGCTTAAAGCCAGTAGCCCTTAACGGAGGAGGATGAAATAAAAATGGAGAAACCATGAATTTTCTTATTGTCCAGGTAAATTGAAAGTCAGTGCACATAAGTTGGAATTTCTGTGTGTTCAGCTATGGGAACAATGTTCTTCCTGCTGACTTTTTCTGCTCCAGCTATGAAGGAATAGATGCAAACAGGGGAGAATAAACTCTATTTCTGCTAGGTGTGTTTTGCCTTGGGTTTCCTGGGTGTGATGTCCTAGGGGCCTTTATTTGGTGGGGGAGGGAGGAATTCTTTACCACAGTCAGAAACCAATATAGTAATAAAAATAAATTTAAAACCTTTTTTTCCCCCAGTCAGGAAGGTAGTTTCTAATGATATGGCTTTAGAACAGGTCTCAGGCAATAGGCCCAAGTTCAGTTCTAGTTCAGTTCCTGCCCCTTGGTTTTGCCTGCTTCCTACAGTGATTTTGAATAAAGTGGTTGCTGCTGTGTGGGAAGCATGGTGGGTGAGCAGGCATCACGCCTTCTGTGAGGTGCTCAACCCTTGGGAAAAGTGCTTCATCCGAGTGGGATATCGGCGTCATCAAGTTAGTATCTATCTGTATTCCTAAAGGGAGAAAACTGACTAAGTTTCCATTTACCTGTAGCTGGCGGTTGAGAGTGAAAACCATCAGTTCAGCAGGTACCTGGATTTGGAAAGACTGGTCCATTTTAAGGTTCATTCTTCTGCAGCTCCAAGGTCATTCCGGATGCATGTCAAGGTTTCCTGAATTTCCCAGGCCTCTCTGGGCAAGAAGTGCCTAGTGATTTTCCGTTTTAAACACCACTGTGAGTGATGAGGGTCGTGTTTGTTGGATGAACCTGAACTGGGAACAGACTCTCACAAGCATATATCTGAGAACATCTGAGAACAATCACAGCTTCCCAGGAGGAATGAAAAAACAAGAGTGAGAATACAAGGCCACCTTTGTAGGCCAGTTTAGTCACCTGTGGCCATGACCTGGTCACTTCTATTCACCAGGCCATCTGGCGATGGCATATTCTAGATAAATAGAAGCTAGCCACACCCTGGAAGAAAATAATATAGAAGGGAAAGTTTTTTAAAATTGCTTGTAGTTTGCGAGCAGCAAGTTCTATGTCTTCTGGGAAGAGGGAAGGCACAGTAGTTACTGGAGGGCAGCTAGAGCCACCTGTCCTGTGACATGCGTCCCACTGGGGACCCCCGATGCACCAAGCAATTGTTAATTTCAGGGCTACCGGCTTCATTTACTCTAGTGATTCTGAACTTTCAGAAGCAACAGGAATCACTCAGGGAGCTTTTAAGAAACATAAGAGAGATACTGATTCAATTGTTGGCAATGGGTCCTGACATTTTGCTTTGTTTTTGTCTTCCTAATGTAGGAACCAGTCATAAAAAGCCGTCTTTTTTTTTTTTTAAGTTTTATTTATTTATGCATACAAGAGCTGGGGTGCTGCCAGAGGTGCAGGGGGTGAGAGGATTCACCAGAGACAGAGTGGGGAGCAGAACAGGCAGATCTACTGAAATACACTGCTGACGGGAGTAGCAGGAGAGACAGGAGAGGTCTGCTGAGCCATGTGGGTCACTTCCCTGGCTGGGGATTGAACTCATGCTGTGGTGGCTGCAGATAGCTTCATAATGCTGAGACTTAACCCCTTGTGCCACCAGGGAGGCCCCTAAAATCCATCATTTTGAGCCATTATCAAAGGACAGGACAGGGGAAACAATTAAGGAAGATTCAAATCACCATCTCCTGTTGGTAGAAAGACTTGAACGAAACAGCATCTTCTTCCACCCTCTGGAAACGTCTTTGCACATCTTCTCTTTGGTAATGTCCAAACTTCCTGGATTTACGCAGCCCGTCCAGTTTACTACAACTGGGGAGGGGGGTGAGGGTTGGGAACTAACCCGTCCTGTGAATCACATGACTCGGACCACATGTGTGTCTACATTGGTTCAGTGAAACATTAACTTGTGTCTTTTCATCAAATATGGTGGCAGGTTTCTTGTGAGGATGAAGTCCAGTTGTTCCTTGGCGAGAATGGGTGTGAGCCCCAACTGACTTCCTGAGGGTGGAGGAGGAGAGGCTGGCCATGAACCTGTTTAGGTGTGTCTTAGGGAGTGTGGCTCAGGGTTCACCTTTGGTAAATGGTTACCCAGAAACACCTTTTCTAGCCTCATCAATGTCTGAGAATGCATGTTGAAATGGTGCTTTTGAAAGGTTCCAAGTGGGTAGTTGTGCTCAAGGCTTTTTTGGTGGAAGGAAAGGGGCAGCCCAGGCAAGGGAGTGCAGATACTTTCCATCTCCTCTCATCTCCCAGGGGCTGCTAGCTCTCACGGACATGCCTATCTAGAATTTTCAGTCTTTGCTCCCAGACTCTGGTCTGCAGGAGTGACTTAGCACTCTTGCCTAGGGGCCTACTGCCTAATACTCGTCCATATAATTTGGAGAGCACAGTGGCAAGGTAAAAGGAGGGCCAAAAGACTTGGTGGAAATGAGTTTTTACCCCCCAAGCTTCAGATTTTTTTTTTTTTTTAAAGACTTATCCATTCATGCATACAAGAACCGGGAAACAGGCCAGATGTACAGGAGGGTGAGAGGATTCACCAGACAGAGCGGGGAGCAGAACAGGCAGACGGACTGAAAGACACTACTGAGGGGAGCAGCGGGTGAGACAGGAGAGGTCTGCTGCGCCATGTGGGTATCTCTGCAGCCGGCCAGGATTGAACCCGCACTGCAGAGGCTGCGGATAGATTCACAGCGCTGCGCTCAACTGCCTGCACCACCAGGGAGGCCCGCTTCAGATATTTATTAATCAGTGTAAACCCCAACATAGCACACCAACATGATTTTGTGCATTTAGAGGGAAAGTATTTCCAGGTTAAGTGGAAAATCATGTGGATCGCTTCTGGAAGATCTTCATTTTAAGTAGCTTGATAGTGAAATTTTTCATTAGAAGTCTGGACTTGCTTCAGTTTTCTGAAATCTCTATTCAGAGATCAGAACTTGTATTGATTATTGGGACCGAGTTTGTTCCAGGGTTCTGGGTTATTCTTTCTGTCCCAACTGACATCTGGATTGAACAAAGCCAGACATGTGACAAACAGCGCTACGCCAGTACCTCCAGCTCCAATAAACACAAAGAGAGGATCAAGTGAGGATGCTTCTTGGCCCGAGGATCTGGCAGAGCATGGCAGTGGGAGAGGCCTTGGGCAGGGAAGGACAGGACAAGAAAACTGCAAGGCCTGGGACTCTCTTGGGAAAATGAGTTTTGGCAGGTTTGCCTCAGAATTGAAAGAAATCACACCCTGATTTGGCAAAAAAGGCACAGAATGCTTCATGTGCATCTTTGTAAAAGTCACACTATACTTTTCATAAGCACAGGAAGGGCTGATGTGAATATTGTAAGTTGATAAACTTAGGAGAAAAAAAAACCGTCTATCTGTAAGATTAATATTAAAAGATATTTTAAAGTCCTAGTGGATCATTTTCAAGGAAGCTCAAATCTTGATGTGGAACTAATATTCAGCGCTCATCTTAGGCTTTTACCACCCTTGTAAAAGTCGTATTTTAACAAAGTGGTTATGAGAAGGGAAAGTAGTTTCTGCATTGTTTATTGAGAGATAACTTTATACATTAGGAACAGGTGCGCTTAAATTGTATGACAGATGACCATGTGAATGAGGGGTCTTGTCAACAATGCAACTGTAATTTACTATTACAATTACTGATTATTTTTTTAAAAAATGATGTAAACAAAAACATGGATGTTTTGCCAAAACAAAAGGCGATAAAATCCAGAAAACAGAAACACATCTAGTGTTAGCACATTAACTATTACAAATAGCTCACTGGAGTGATATCATACCCCAAACCCACATTTGTGTCAATTCTGTACCAGATGAGCAAAATGAGAGAAAATAACACTGATTTGACCCAGGAATAGAAGAACACGTTGAACAGAAGTCTTTTGCATCGCCAAGGTCACTGCTTTTCATTTACACCCTAAGTATTTCCCCTCCTTTTGCCTTTCCTTAAAGACAGATTTTCCTTTAATATGTCTCTGGAAGGCTGGCTACCAGCTATTCTCAGTAAGATTCTGATAGGGGACCCCATTCAGAGCCTGGGCTCCAGAGTGAGTACCTAATTTAATAGCTCAGTGGATACCCATGTCACACAGGAAGCTTTTAATCACAGTTTATCCATGAGGGGTCTTACTTCCCTTTTGGAAAATAGATGGTAAGTTTGAAAACAAACAAACAAACAAACTTTTATACAGTAAAGGAAAAGAAAAATCCGTGTTTATGTAATTTTTTAACCTGGAAAGGGCTAAGTTCACCGTTGACAGATTTAAACCTGGAAAACTGGTCAATTTCTACCCATTGGCCTTGGTGACATCATGACATTCCCCTGAGTTTGCTTAATGAAAGCAAGCAAACCAACCAAAAGAGCGATTAAGAAAACAGCATAAAATAAAGTTAAAACATGATGTGGTTTTATCTTTTCTATTTCCTGGGAAAAGTGTCCAAGGAGCTAAGAGGTCGGTGCTTCTCCCACCGTTTTCCACGGGAATCCTTCTACTCATGTGGTTAAGGCACCAGGTTAGACAACGGTGAAAGGGAGACATGCATATGGAACGTGCAAGCTCCAAGTGCTCTGTAGAAAGACTAGCCAGCAGGAAAGAAGCAAAGTGATCCAGGTTTAGGCGAAAGGTCCTGCAGGCTTCAAGTGGGTCAGAGACTAGACTAGAAGCACTAGACAGTACTATAAGGCACTCCTACAGGGACGAAGGACAGTGGGGAGCCAGCATGGAGGACCCCTAGGTCCCAATTGTCCACCAGCTGGTTTACTAGCTGTGAGGGATCTAGGCCAGGGCTCAGGAGAGGGGGCCAGGTGGAGCACGGGTAGCGGTGGGGAGAGGCTGGTCTGCAGCTCCCTGGCCGTAGGAAGGATCTTTGTTGTGCTCAGAGGAGCTGGGGGTGCCTGGCTGGGCAGCAGTGGCTTTACGGCAGCCCCAACAAGATGGCTTCTTTCTACACAGGTGGGAACCAAAGCGAAACAGCAGTTGTCTGCTGACTTCACAATGCCTCCATCACACCCGAGGGTCGCTTTTATGAGGAAAGAGCCACATAACATGATCACTCGCAACCCTTTCCAATAAAACTCCTGACAACCGCCGGTGTATTTAGGAGGGTGCTCCACACTTGTGACTTTCACAATACTTGGTGATTTCACCTTGCCACACTCCCACTGAAACACACCAAAGGAAAACCCTCAAACCAGAGATTTTGGAATCAACAAAATCAAAATTAGAAGTGTCTACTCTACAAAGAAGGTGGCTGCTGGGTGCTGGGACCTAAGTGTGGCCACACTGTCCCACGGGGTAGAAACCAGCATTTGTTAAGGTGAACTGACCAGGGCTTAGTCACCTGTCCCTGGATGCAACCTCAAGCTGTTAGTCCTGCTAGACTCAGGGACTGAGGAATGTACCAGGCACACAACACAGAAACTCTTAATGCCCACTGTCAACTAGAACCCAGGAAAGGAAAACAAAGTGCTTCTAAGATGCAATTCATGCGAAGGGGGGCGAGGAGGTGGGGAGTGGTTATTTCTTTCAGTCTTGCCCCAAGTCTGTTTTTTTCACATTATCTTACAGTAAGAAAAATGGCGAGACAGAATATCCAGAAATAAAAAGGGGGAAAATTGCATGCATCTCATTTTACTGGGAGAGATGAAAATAAAACAACACATTTGTGTTGACTACAGGCAGAATCAGAATCAGGACTTGAAGTCTTACTTCATTATTTCAAATAAGTGCAGCAGATCAGAGGAGATGAATAATTCTACATGAACATGAACAGCAGCATCAGTTTTATCCTAAATTAGCAGCGGCATGTACGTCCGCTTCTCCAGATAATGCCTCTCTTTGCAGACGGTGTTGAGTGTGGCATCATGCTCGTCCCATCCTGGTATCATCTACAGATGACCTTTTCTGGCCCAGGGATGGGCAGAGACCAAACACACTGGTTTGGAAGCCAAGTCTTTTCAAGGAGGCCGGGGAAGAAACTATCCAGTGTTAATGTTCAGTGTCCACATGCAGAGACAAAACAAGGCCAGGCCCCATCGAGCTCCTGCCCAGCGAAGGTCGCTAGCGCGAAAGCCACACTCCCCCACAGCTGAAGCCTGGAGGACATCACCCTGATGGTTGGAAACCGCGAATCTCAAGTGCTTGAGATATTCCTGTTTTGGTGGAAGCCTATTCTAGAAAAATCAAAAAGCGATTACCCTAATCAAATATTCAAGCTCCTAAAAGAGATTACCCTTTAGCTCGATAGACATGAAAATGACTAATCCAGTCCCTTGAAAAGGCAGTGAAACAAAGATGGGAGACAGGAGTTTATGAGGTTTTCAGATAAAGAGGCTTTCAACGTTAGGATAAAGCAGCTCTGGAAAGAACACAGCTCCCACTGCAGTGGACTGTTTTTTAAGTACATTGTGGCCTTCCTGCCGTGATGCAAACTGAGGTCTATTTTAGGAACTGGCTTCGTTACTGCAGGGTTAGATGCCAACATTTCACCAGGGTTGGACTGTCTCACACATGAGTTTCTGGCACTTTTAGGAGGGATTTCCTCAAGTGATACACCAGGGAATGGGCCTTCCAAGTGAAAAGAGGTTCCCCTGAGTCAGCTGCCAGCTCTCAGAGATTAATTGGCCATTTTCTAATGTGCTTTATGTGCAAGATATTTAATATGGGATGAAAAACGGAACACGAGGGAAAACAGGTATTAGCTTGGCCTTAAGGAGGTGGTAATCCACAGATTTGCTTTTGTTTCGACAGTTTCTGAGCAGAGAAACAATTACCTAATAGTGCACCAAGTAATTGGTTAGGGTTGAAAATAGTGAGGGCGTTCATGTGCTCTGAGGCATTCTGGGCTGAAAAAGGCCATTTTGAATTTCCATGGCAGACCCCACTTCTAGGCTGGCTCCGCCGTGTCCCATCGGATTTTGGTGGTGGTGGCTGAGTGTTGGTGCAGGCCTGTGGCGGGCCCGACCCGGCTGTCAGGGACTCACAAGAGGGAGAGAAAACAGAAGCAGCTGGTATTCAGTGCCAGTTCTGGGTAGCTGATGTTGATAGCACACTATTTTTTTCCCCCCTTTGAAAATAAGCAGAAAACGATGTGAGTGGAAAGCTCTCCTTACGAGTTCACAGGGACTGCTAATCTTTAGCACGGCCCTCTACAACGGCACTGGTGAAAACACAGGTCTTTCGCCCAGGAATCCAGAATTTCACCCTGACTCTTGGCGGGCCCAACCCTGGTGTCTGTGAGTTGGGACAGGAAATTCTATACATAGAGTTAATGTGCTAGAAGGGGAGGAGACGGCCTTGCATACGGGTCTCCAAATGCAGTGTGCTGGGGACGGCCTTGCTGACAGTCGGAATCACAGATACATTAATTATAGTGAATGCAGAAGTAAGCTACATGACAGGGAGCTGGGGGTGGAGGAAAAGGCACTTTGCCATCGAAGCACATCTGTTTTATAATAAGCAGGTCTATAATTCTCTTGTGAAAGATCATGTTCTGCTATCTTCTCGGAGGCTGGAAAATATAAATACTGTATTTCACGAAGGGAGGGAGGAGAGAGGAGATCAAATTTGTTTGCCTGTTTGCCAAGAGCTTGTTTGAGATTTTCCACTTTTGTGTACAATAGTATAACTGTGTAACCTGTATTTCTAAGCACAAAAGGCAGCGTAAGGTGTCTCATGAACAGGGCCCTGGCCTTTTAGCAGGTTTTTATGCCTTGGTTACAGCTACTGTATAATCAGAAAATAAATGCAAGCATGGTGCTGAGCTATTAAGTTTTTTGATGTAGCTCCATTTGTTGGCTTTTGCTTTTGTTGTTCGTGTGCTGAGCTATCAAGTTGACATGTGTGGTCAGGGGCCAAAGAAACTGGCGTGGGTTGAGAGGTGAAATGCTTACATCTAACAGTCTGCACAGAAGTCACTCTGTAATGTCATGTCTCTAAATGGATGGAAGTACCATCAATTTTGGGATGTGGGGGGAGCGGGGGTAGGGAAAGAAGCAATGGTGGTAAATGTACCCTATACGCTGAGAGCTACTGATTCTCCAGACCCTAGTAGCAGGGACAGTACGGAGCCAGGACGGTGCTGAAGGCATCTGCTCAGTGGAAACATCTTCTCATATAGTCTATTGAGAATTGTCTCAATAGAAGCATATTTTTTCCATCTGGAAAGAGTTAAAGTAGAAGGAATGGGAGGTATGAGTTCCGGTACCAGAATATCTCCCATTTCAGTGGCTGCTACCCCTGCCAGGTGGCTAAGCAATTTGCTATATTTCTTATTCCTATGCTATTACTTTTAGCACTTTTTTTTTAACCTTAAGATGGCAATTATATACACATATATATTTATTTCAACAATATAGATTTAATTCATTAATTATATTGTACGTTGGGTATTTTCTTAATAGTCTAAAGTTGATATTTTGAATTCCACATTACTCTGATTTTTAAAACAATTATAAAATGTGAAAGTAGGCGTGATTACATGGGCCAGGTAAAGGTCAAAGTGAAAGTGCGATGAAGAACAATGAGAAATGAAGCATTTAAAATGACTAGGCAGGGGATGCCTGCACAAGATTCTGTGAAAAGAAACTGAAGACCATCTCTTGGAATTATACACTGTGTACCTCATTGACCAGTCTGCAAACCGGTGTATTAAACAACCATCCTAGGAAATTTCCACAAACCAGCACCATTAAAGTAATCATAAATATTACCCATGAAAAACCTGGAAAACTCTTCTCAAGAGAGCCAGTGGACAACCTGGCAAAATGGTGGCCCATCACCGCATCAGGCGGCCGTTGAGATTCGTACCGGCAGGTTCATACAGACCAACCACTTGCGTTATTGGTTGCAGAGTTCTCTTCTCGTCTCAGGAAAAAGTCTTTCTGAGATTAACTTCAAATCCAGAACTAGCTCTCCTCATAAATAGGAGCACATACTTGCTGTCAGAGAGAGCTCGTACTCCAGTGCTCTAAGCCACTTGGCTCGTGTCAGGGACCCTGCCTCTGCAGCAGAAACCCAGGAGAGCCAGCCAGGGAGGTGGGCCTGGAAGGTCCGGGAGTCCTGCTTGTGTTTTGAAGATTTTCTTACGAGACAGATGACCATAGGTGCTAGCCTCAGTTACCTCATCCTCTATAAAGGCTAAAAATAAATAACACAAAAATAACCCAAGTGGTGGTGGTGTTCCGCAGGGAAGGCTACCTCCTGTGCTCTGTATAATAAAGTGGTCCAAGAGCCAAAAAACAAAGAAAAAAAAATCTGACCTATAAAGCATTGTGTGTAATCCACATTTTGCTTCGGAGCAAGCAGCTGAAATTCATGGTTAAGTGTAACTCAGCTACTGGTAATTTTTTGAGCCACAGAGTCTTCATGAACCTTTTAGACAACGATTTGTACAGAACATTCATACAGGGTGTATAGGTTATGTGTGTGTATATATAAATAAATACTATATCTAGCTGAAGATGAGACACTCTCTCTTCCAAAGGGGTCTAACTGGCTAGTTAGGAAGCCGCTGGGGCTGATGGAGTGCTGACGTCAATCCCTGGCCGTGGGGTCCTGCCGAGTCAGGTGTTCTGGTAAGACAGCTCGAACATGCTGCAGGCCTCCTCCAGGCTCTCGTCCATGTTCAGCCTCCGCCAGAAAGACTTCTGCTTCATCTGTAGCTCTCGGCGCACACACCTCGGGCAGGGGACAGACTTTTCTTTGCATTCAGAATGGAAAACAGCCCCACAGCTTTCACACCTGCAAAGCCAACCATGGATACGATGAGCAGGATTAAAATAAGCGAGACAGAAACCTGCAGCAAGAGGCCCAACACTTGATTCTGGACAGTTCTGCCACTAGGAAGGGAAGTGACTCATAGAATCCTTTTTCCCTTATCCAAATTGCTCCAGGTTGATTTCACTTGAAAACCTTTTTTTTTTTTCTGCTCGAAAACTAGCTGTGGAGAGCCTTATTTATGGATGGGAATCAACAGTCAACTAAACCGTGATTGCCAGTAGGGACAATGGACAGAGCTCTAGAAGCTGTGTGCTCACTTCCTTGGCACTGAGAAAGTGGTGTAGGCGGTTGCTGTGGGACAAAGTGACAGAAGACAAGAGTAAAATGCTTTGCCAACGAAAACACCTTGAACACCGTGACCACCTCAGGCAACTCAGAGTGTACATGAGCTTCCAGCTTCCTGCCAGCTAAGGGGTGCCCTGCTGCCCTGCCTGCCTTTACTTGACACTATGGAGACGGGGAACAAAGGACGCTTTTTCAGTTTCTGAGTGATCTCCGTGACCTACTGTTTTTCTGGGGTTTTTTTAAATTAGAAAATCCCCCACCTTTGCATGTTTATCTTTATTGAAACAAGTGGGAACAATAAAGCAGGAAAGATCGGGGAAGAAAAGATGATTTTTATTTTATTTTTATTTTTTAAAGATTTATTTATTTATGCATAAAAGAGCTAGGGTACAGGCCAGAGGTGAGAGGGGTGAGAGGATTCACCAGAAACAGAGTGGGGAACAGAACAGGCAGACTGACTGAGGGGAGCAGCGGGCGAGACAGGAGAGGTCTGCTGTGCCATGTGGGTTGCTCCCTGGCCGGCCAGGGATCGAACTCGTATTGCAGAGGCTGTGGACTGCTTCATAGTATGGTGCTTAACCCCCTGCGCTGCCAGGGAGGCCCAAAAGATGATTTTTAAAAGCAACACAAAGATACTGTAATTTATAGAGAGGAGACATTCCAGGTGGATGACGAGTTTGTTGTCTGGCTTGGTGGGAAGCTTGTACGGGAGTCTAAATGGTTTGTTTTCACTGCAAAGTCTTTAATAATGAGTAACTGACAAGCACAGCCTCAGCGAGCTGCCCCGTGGGTGGCTTGTCAGTGTGCTTACATTCCCGTCCTTCCACACATGAGCGACAAGCAAACTTACCTTGTTCCTGGAGCCCAGGAATTGGGCCCAATAATTAGTTCAACCAGAAATTTGGAGGCTCAGTCCTGGACCTGAGCAGCTGTGAAGGGGCAGTCAGTTTCCAGGGCTCAGCCTTATGGTCCTTTTACATTTCCTGTCATAACTTAAGTTTTAGTTCTGGGTGTGGGATGGGCTTTGAGATACCATTTCCAAGTCCGCCACTGACACAGCACCGGCACTATTCAGTACTTAGGAAGTTTGGGGTACTATGTCATCCTCAATTTCCCATATCGAAACCCTAGCCCCTAATGTCACTTATTTGGCAGTAATTAAGGTTAAGGGAAGTCATTCGGTGGGCCCTGAGCTGATAGGGTTAGTGTCTTTGGTTTTTTTTTTTTTTTTTTTTAAAGATGATTTATTTATTTATGCATGTAAGAACTGGGGTACAGGCCAGAAGGAGGGAGAGATGAGAGGATTCATCAGAGACAGTGGGGAGCAGAACAGGCAGATCTACTGAAATACACTGCTGAGGGGAGCGGCGGGCAAGTCAGGAGAGGTCTGCTGCATCATGTGGGTAGCTCTGTGGATAGCTTGATAGGTTGCGTCTTAACCCCTTGCGCCACCAGGGAGGCCCGGGTTAGTGTCTTTGAAAGAAGAGACCACAAGGGCTCTCTCCCCCCTTGCGTGCACTCCATCAGGACTGCCGCAGGAGGGGCGGCCTGCAAGCCAGGGAGAGCTCTCATCAGAAACCAAGCCCTGGTGGGCCCTGGTCTGGGACTTCTGACTCCAGAACTGGGAGAAGTGAGCGCCTGTTCTTTAAGCCACCCAGTCTGTGGTATTTTACACGACAGCTGAGCAGACCAAGACAGTAACCTTGAGTGAGTCACTTCACCTCTCTGAGCTTCTGTTCCTTGTCTCCTAAGTGGAGTTTCCATGAACACACCTCAGCGAGATGCTGTGAGGCTCCAATGAGCCGAGGGATGCAGCATTTAAGCACAGTTCCTAAAGGGTGGGAAGTGCGTATAACGCACCTAAGACTGCTTTCTCCCTGGAAGCGATCGCCTTGCAGTGAGTCTTCATTTCAACCTGACTTCTCTGATGTCACCATGGTGACCGGAAGACGTCTTGAGCAAGCCCCTCGTGTTACCTGAAGACGTCTTGATCAAACCCCGAGATTCCAAGAGGGCTAATGACTGTCTCATGAGGACACAGTGAGTTGGAGACAGAGCTGTGACTAGAACCCAGGATCCCCGACAGCCTGCCAGGGCTATTCCTGAGCAGAGAGCTGCTGGCTTGGGGGTCAGCCATGCACCACGGTGGAGGGGAACAGGGCTGGGGTCAGAATACTTGTGTTCACATCACAAATCTTTCTCGCAGCTCAGTGATCTTGGACAAGTTATTTACTTTCTTGGTGCTCTGGTTTCCTTATTTATAAAATTTAGCTGACTGTGACCTGCTTTCTGCTCCCAGGGTGCTGTGAGGCGAACACGGTGAATGCACGTGGCAGGACTGTGCAAACAGCACGTACTCTTAGGAGCACTTCTCGCAGTGACCCTGGTGCCTGCCTCTTTGACATTGGTGCCACCCTGGTCGAAGCAGAGGACATGGAAGGGTCCTTTCTAGTATTTCCCTGGTTCTGGGGGGATGAAGGTCAGATTTAGGTCTCCCAGTACCTCTTGTCTGGGCTGGCTCCTCCCCAGTGGCAGTGGCTTTGTCCCCACAGGGTCACACCTCTGTAACCCCCATCACTGAAGTGACACTAATGGTGGTTTTATCAAGTACATTTCTTCCTTCCTGCCCCCTCTGCCCCGTGAGTTAGTCAGTGATTTATACACCTAGGGATGTTGCCCCAGGGCAGTGATTGATAAGGAGAAAACTGCTGGGTTCCTTCAGTGCCACTCCCTTATCTCTGTTGATACCAACCCCCAGGAGTGAAGAGGTTGAGTCTTATCGGGCATTTCTGGCACAACAAACAGCCATGGGTTAACGGAGGGACCGTGTACACCTGCTCTTTCTAGCCAAAGGTCAGTAACTGAAGAAAAAAAGTCTGAGATAAAAAAATTAATGATTTCAAAATAGAACCAAGTCCTACTTTCTAACAATTTGTAACCCAGCAGGCATCTTTTGAACTGTATAATGGAACAGACTGATCAATGACCTTCCCAAATTCAGAGAATCTATTGTTAATTCCCCTTCCTCCTCTGATTTTCTCTTTAAAGGAAAAGAATAAAGACAGGAAAAGAAAGGAGGAGAAGAAACTGTTCTCCTGCATAAAGTTTAGGGAGCTCTATCATAACAATGTAATGTGCAGGAAAAATATTTATTAAAAAAAATGTAATACACAGGTGTGCCCCTCTTTGAGTAGAGGATTTTATTTGAAAAGCCTTTCATGGGGCCTCCCTGGTGGTGCAAGGAGTTAGGACACAGCCTATGAAGCTATCCACAGCCACTGCAGCACAAGTTCGATCCTCGGCCAGGGAGGAGACCCACGTGACACAGCAGACCTCTCCTGTCTTGCCCACTGCTCCCCTCAGCAGTATATTTCAGTCGATTTGCCTGTTCTGTTCTCCACTCTGTCTCTGGTGAATCCTCTCACCCTCCACGCCTCTGGCCCATACCCCAGTTCTTCTATGCATAAATAAGTAAATCTTTAAAAAAAAAAAAGCCTTTCACTATAAAAAAATACACTGGCTTCTTAGTGTAAACTGACTTTCCCAACTGTATCAAAAATATGACTTAACAGACAAAACTTTTTAGGAACAGGTTTTTTATATTAAGCAAATCTACCAATGTAATCATCTGTGCAGAAAATTACAGCAGATAATAAAAGAGAATATCCCTTTGGGGTTCCTGAGTGCTGGGGTTCCAGCACCTTCAGAGACACTCAGTGCTAGGACTCAACAGTTTTGTAGCTTTTGGGCTGTCATTGTGCACCACAGAAAACAAAGACCTTAAGTGCCTCATCTCCAGTGTCCTGGAGAAGGTCCAGAGGCACTCAGTGGGTTTTCCAGGTTTCTCTTGAAAACATCTATTCCTTCACTTAATCCAGGGAGATCAGCCTCAACTCTACGGACATTCAGAGCTGGGCAGACCTTTGTTGTAGGGTGTTCAGCAGGTATCTCCATCCTGCACCCACTGGATGCTAGCAACAACTTCCACCCCCAGCTGTGACAACCAACAGTGTCTCCAGACACCCAAATGCCCAAATGTTTCCTGGGGGTTGGTGGAGATCATCCCAGTTGAAATCCCCTGACTAATCCACCTGGAGAAGGCATCCCTTAAATAGTGCCACAACTGAACTTGCAAGTGTCACCTGCTGGCTTATACTATTACCAACCTATAAGCAGAGTAAACTTATTCAAATCTCTTCACAATACATATTTTTAATATATCACTTGGTGATAATAACTGAAACTCACTAGCATAACCTCCTTTAAGAGGCCTATACCCATGACACAATTCTGTATATTGCTGAGTAACCTGCAACTTTTTATCAATTCACTCTGAGTTTTCATTCCTACCCAAAACTATCTTGGTGGTTGGCTCTTGGTTGTATTTATTTGATCTTTGGCCACAAACCTCTGGGCTGTTTCTTTGTGGTATTCTTTGCTTCTTTATGTACTAGCGAGGTCCTCTAGCAAATCAAAACAAAGAACTTCTGTATTTGCTTCATAAAATATATCACTTTTATGGAATGTGAAGGAACGTCTACAATGAAAAAGGGACTAGTAAACTTTCCACAGAGCTACTAAATCCAGAGGAGATAGCTTTTCAGTAAAGCTCAGTTCTTGACCTTGTTGGCCTAGTATCCCTGGATCTTGGCAAGTCCTTCATCTCTGAACCCTGC